TAATGCAACCATCAAAATTGTCCCAGGACGCCTAGGTTTTCTAACCCTAACCCTAGCCTGGTGCAAATCCCTACCCCTAAGATAGGGCGATTGTTCCATTCAAAACAATGCCCTTTTTTAAATAGCCTCCCAGACTTGGTTTTTTTGCACAGCTCAATATTTCTTCCCATTCCCGGCCTAATGCAACCATCAAAATTGTCGCTGGACACCTAGGTTTTCTAAACCTAAACCTAACCTGTTGCAAATCCCTAACCTCAATATAGGGCGATTGTTGCATTCAAAACAATGCCATTTTTTAAAAACCCTCCCAGACTTGGTTTTTTTAAACAGCTCAACCTTACTTCCCATTCCCGGCCTAATACAACCATCAAAATTGTCCCTGGACACCTAGGTTTTCTAACCCTAACCCTAGCCTTGTGAAAATCCGTAACCCTAATATAGGGCGATTGTTCCATTCAAAATAGTGCGATTTTTTAAAAAGCCTCCCAGAGTTGTTTTTTGCCCAGCTCCACATTTCTACCAATTCCCAGCCTAATGCAACCATCAAAATTGCCCCTGGACACCTAATTTTTCTAACCCTAACCCTAGCCTAGTTAAATCCCTAAACCTAATATAGGGCGATTGTTCCATTGAAAACAATGCCATTTTTTAAAGACACTCCCAGAGTTGGTTTTTTTGCACAGCTCAACTTTCCTTCCCATTCCCGGCGTGATGCAACCATCGACATTGTCCCTGGACACCTAGTTTTTCTAACCCTAACCCTAGCCTTGTGGAAATCCCTAACCCTACTATAGGAAGATTGTTCCATTCAAAACAACGCGATTTTTTAAAAAGCTCCCCAAACCTGGTTTTTTTGCACAGCTCAACTTTGCTTCCCATTCCCGGCCTAGTGCAACCATCAAAATTGTCCCAGGACACCTAGGTTTTCTCACCCAAACCCTAGCCTGCTGCAAATCCCTACCCCTAATATAGGGCGATTGTTCCATTCAAAACAATGCCCTTTTTTAAATAACCTCCCAGACTTGGTTTTTTTGCACAGCTCAATATTTCTTCCCTTTCCCGGCCTAATGCAACCATCAAAATTGTCCCTGGACACCTAGGTTTTCTCACCCAAACCCTAGCCTGCTGCAAATCCCTAATCCTAATATAGGGCGATTGTTCCATTCAAATCAATGGGATTTTTTAAAAAGTTCCCATACTTGGTTTTTTTACTCAGCTCAACATTTCTTCCCATTCCCAGCCCAATGCAACCATCAGAATTGTCCCAGGGCACCTAGTTTTTCTAACCCTAACCTTAGCCTGGTGAAAATCCCTAACCCTTGTATAGCGCAATTGTTCCATTCAAAATAGTGGATTTTTTAAAAAGCCTCCCAGAGTTATTTTTTTGCACAGCTCAACATTGCTTCCCATTCCCGGCCTAATGCAAACATCAAAATTATCCCAGGACACCTAGGTTTCCTAACCCTAACCCTAGCCTGGTGAAAATCTATAACCCTAATATAGGGCGATTGTTCCATTGAAAACCATGACATTTTTTAAATACACTCCCAGAGTTGGTTTTTTTGCACAGCTCCACATTTCTTCCAATTCCCAGCCCAATGCAACCATCAAAATTGTCCCAGGACACCTAGGTTTTCTAACCCTAACCCTACCCTAGGGAAAATCCCTAACCCTAATATAGGGCGATTGTTCCATTGAAAACAATGCCATTTTTTAAAAACACTCCCAGAGTTGGTTTTTTTGCACAGCTCAACTTTCCTTCCCATTCCCGGCGTGATGCAACAATCAACATTTTCCCTGGAAACCTAGTTTTTCTAACGTTACCCTAGCCTGGTGGAAATCCCTAAGCCTATTATAGGAAGATTGTTCCATTCAAAACAACGCGATTTTTTAAAAAGCTCCCCATACCTGGTTTTTTTGCACAGCTCAACATTGCTTCCCATTCCCGGCCTAGTGCAACCATCAAAATTGTCCCAGGAAGCCTAGGTTTTCAAACTCTAACCCTAGCCTGGTGCAAATACCTATCCCTAATATAGGGCGATTGTTCCATTCAAAACAATGCCCTTTTTTAAATAGACTCCCAGACTTGGTGTTTTTGCACAGCTCAATATTTCTTCCCTTTCCCGGCCTAATGCAACCATCAAAATTGTCCCTGGACACCTAGGTTTTCTAACCCTAACCATAGCCTGGTGAAAATCCCTAACCCTAATATAGGGCGATTGTTCCATTCAGAATAGTGCGTTTTTTTAAAAAGCCTCCCAGAGTTGCTTTTTTTCCACAGCTCAACATTGCTTCCCATTCCCGGCCTAATGCAACCATCAAAATTTTCCCAGGACACCTAATTTTTCTAACCCTAACCCTAGCCTGGTGAAAATCCCTAACCCTAAAATAGGGCGATTGTTACATTCAAAATAATGCTATTTTTTAAAAAGCCTCCCAGACTTGGTTTTTTGCACAGCACAATATTTTTTCCCACTCCTGGCCCAATGCAACCATCAAAATTGTCCCCAGATGCCTAGTTTTTTTAACCCTAACCCTAGCCTGGTGAAAATCCCTAACCCTAAAATAGGGCGTTTGTTCCCTTCAAAATAGTGCGATTTTTTAAAAAGCCTCCCAGAGTTGCTTTTTTTCCACAGCTCAACATTGCTTCCCATTCCCGGCCTAATGCAACCATCAAAATTTTCCCAGGACACCTAATTTTTCTAACCCTAACCCTAGCCTGGTGAAAATCCCTAACCCTAAAATAGGGCGTTTGTTCCCTTCAAAATAGTGCGATTTTTTAAAAAGCCTCCCAGAGTTGGTTTTTTTGCACAGCTCAACATTGCTTCCCATTCCCGGCCAAATGCAACCATCAAAATTGTCCCAGGACACCTAGGTTTTCTGACCCTAACCCTAGCCTGGTGCAAATCCCTACCCCTAATATCGGGCGATTGTTCCATTTAAAACAATGCCCTTTTTTAAATAGCCTCCCAGACTTGGTTTTTTTGCACAGCTCAATATTTCTTCCCATTCCCGGCCTAATGCAACCATCAAAATTGTCCCAGGACGCCTAGGTTTTCTAACTCTAACCCTAGCCTGGTGCAAATCCCTACCCCTAATATAGGGCGATTGTTCCATTCAAAACAATGCCCTCTTTTAAATAGCCTCCCAGACTTGGTTTTTTTGCACAGCTCAACCTTACTTCCCATTCCTGGCCTAATGCAACCATCAAAATTGTCCCTGGACAACTACATTTTCTAACCCTAACCCTAGCCTGCTGCCAATCCCTAACCATAGTATAGCGCAATTGTTCCATTCAAAATAATGCGATTTTTTAAAAAGCCTCCCAGTGTTATTTTTTTGCACAGCTCAACATTGCTTCCCATTCCCGGCCTAATGCAACCATCAAAATTGTCCCAGGACACCTAGGTTTTCTAACCCTAACCCTAGCCTGGTGAAAATCTGTAACCCTAATACACGGCGATTGTTCCATTGAAAACAATGACATTTTTTAAATACACTCCCAGAGTTGGTTTTTTTGCACAGGTCCACATTTCTTCCAATTCCCAGCCCAATGCAACCATCAAAATTGTCCCAGGACACCTAATTTTTCTAACCCTAACCCTAGCCTAGTGAAAATCCCTTACCCTAATATAGGGCGATTGTTCCATTGAAAACAATGCGATTTTTTAAAAATCCTCCCAGAGTTGGTTTTTTTGCACAGCTCAACATTTCTTCCCATTCCCAGCCCAATGCAACCATCAAAATTGTCCCCGTCAACTACTTTTTCTAACCCTTACCCTAGCCTGGTGAAAATCCCTAACCCTAATATAGGGCAATTGTTCCATTCAAAACAATGCCATTTTTTTAAAAACCCTCCCAGAGTTGGTTTTTTTGCACAGCTCAAAATTTCTTCCCACTCCTGGCCCAATGCAACCAAAAAATTTTCCCCGGACACCTAGTTTTTCTAACCCAAACCCTAGCTGGGTGAAAATCCCTAACCCTACTATAGGGCGATTGTTCCATTCAAAACAATGCGATTCTTTCAAAAGCCTCGCAGACATGGTTTTTTTGCACAGCTCAACATTTCTTCGCATTCCCAGC